AGCTCATATGTGATCAAAGAGGCCTGCAAAGGAGCTTGTTTGAGGCCATTTTCTGTTGGTGCTGCCATTGGATTTTTAAAAAATTATTTTCCAAAGTGGAAATTATTCTGCCTGATGCCGTCAATATTTGAGACTGCAAGGGGATCATTTAGGAAAGCGGGGCCTCCCAATTCTGAAAGCGTTACTGCTCTTCCCTAAGGGCCTAATTTACAAAGCAGTTGACTCACTGGTAGGATTTGGCTGAAAATCTCATTGTCTCAGTAGAACTCTTTCATCTGATTTATGTGCCTTGCATTTTACAAATAACTCTTGGAGAGTTATTTACCAGCAACTGGAAGCAGAGGGTAAGTGGTGTTTCTAGCTTGGGAACAGAGGAGCAAAGAGGCCTCACAATGATGATGAAGCTGATGAAACCCAATGCCTAATTCTCTAAGCTTGCCTCTGCCATGAAAGAGTTCTCCATTGGCCTTTTATTTTGTGTGAAATTGGTGTATGTTCAAAAATAATGTTGCTGTCCAGCCCTGCATTTGTCTTCTGCAATGTGACACTTGATTTCTGTCCCACATTTTGGCCGAGAGATGGATTAAGCCTCAGCGATTTCAAACACCAAAGCCAACCAAGAAATATTAGCTTGAACTGGACGAGATGCTGTGTTTGTAGGTCAGAGCGGTCAAATGTCAGCAGTTTTACACGGTCTGACCTGAGTATTTCATGGCAGATTGGAGCAATAAGATTCCCAGCGCTGTGGGCATGATTCTGAATTCTGAAAAACATAGTAATAATAAAAAGTAGATAGGTAGAAAACAATTTTACTCTTTCTGGCTGCAGTGGTTGTTTGAAAACTGGATAAACAGAGAGCTAGCAGGCCAGGCTCACCCTTGACCTACCTGAGACTGAATTAACTACCTTTTTGCATAATTAAAACACTGTGCATACCTTTCAGGTAGGAGATATTAGTGTCAATTTCTATCTCCCTCTCTCTCTCTCTTTCCCTCCCTCCCTTTCCCTTCCTTCCTCTCTCTCTCCTGTGTGCGCATATTACCATCTCTCTTTCTCTTAGCGATTTTTAAAATTTTATATTGATTTGCATTCAAAATTCATACAAATTGTGTTTCATTCATGTATATAGGGTTTCACACATTCCTTCATTCGCACTGCGTTTCATAGGATCATTCCCGTACATTACCATTGATCTATGCCTACTATTACCCCATCTTTTCCAGCCTTCATTGGATCTTTCCTAATCCCCACACCACCACCACCAAACTATGGTATCCCAGTGACTTCCCTTCCTCCCTCCCTCCATTTTGCCCCCCAGCCCCATTCTCTTCCCATTTTGGGCTTTTATACACTTACTATTATTATTCATTTTAATGAACATTTACAGAGATTTTGGATTTCCATTCATTGTTGTACTTTCATTGTTACACATTCCCTCTTCCTGAGTCCCCTCCACTATGCATCCTTTGTTCTGGACTCGGGTCATGACCATAACACCTAATCCTATATCCCTTTTAAACAGTTCTCTCCCTCATCTGTTTCAATGCAGTATACATAATTATAGTTGCCCCTCTCTCCCTCATCTGTTTCAATGCAGTATATATAATTATAGTTGCCCCTCTATATTCACCTTAATGGTCCAGAACCAACTCACAGCTGACCCTCCACTGGGCTTCTGAGGCTTAATTCACATGAGATACTGTCTCTATTTCCCCATAGAGTTCCTGATGAATTAGAACTGTCAGAGAGGTAGAGCTTTATGAATTACCAGTGTAATTATCATTGTAACTCTATGCCACAGAGCTCCCCAGAGTTGATCTGTTACTGTTGTCAGGTGCCGTTGAGTTGACTACAATTCCTATCTCCACCATACTTGTGCTCATCATTGTAGTTCACGTGTCACTCCATCCCATTGAGAGTCTTCCACTCTGGACTCTCAGCCTTTCCCAGCATATGATCTTTATCTAAGCACTAGGCCCTCCCCCTCCTGACAGCATCCTCAAAGTATGCAAAATAACATTTTAGTAGGGAATGGCAAAGGAAACGCTAAAAAGGTAAAGAAATCAGAAGTTGTTCTGGACAGTGGTGTGAAATGGTGACAGAACAACATAAGGGAAACAGAATCAGCTTTTAAAAAATGGGATAACAAGAGCAGGCCCCAAGGGCCACTACAAATCCATCAGGAACTGTGTGTCACCGTAATGCCGAGTAAACTTGGCCCCCACTGAAGATAGATAGATAGATAGATAGATAGATAGATAGATATAGATAGATATATATATATACACACACACACACTCTCACTCTCTCTCTCTCATATGTAAGATAAGGATAGAGTCATGCTTTCCTGACCCATTGATAGTTCTTTCCCTTGCTCTCACCCAATGCCAGTGTCTTTGTTATAGCAGTGTCTTATATCCGAGTCAGAACTATCTAACTCTTACTCAAAGAGGCCCCTGGGCACATTTGGCAGTCATCCCCTTGACATTTCCACCATCCTTGCCTCTATCAAGAACCCTCGTTGCGCTTCCTCCAAGAAAAACCTGTTTGCTCCATTGGCAGTCTCTGGGATACTCACTCATGTTTGCCACCACCACAGTACAAACACAGCGACTCTTCTTCAGTCTTCCTTATTCATTGTCATACTTTCAGATGCATGGGGGGAAATAGAAAATATGTTGGCTTTAATCCTGTGCATCTTATTCTTGAAATTTATCCTGACTCTTGAGCACTTTAAAAAAAAAAGAAAAAAAAACCAAAAAAAGTGACAAAACACCGAAATCCTCAGACTTACTGCCCTCCAGTCGAAATCAACTCATAGCTCACTCCTCAGTAAATGTTCAGAGGCTGTGAATCACATTACACAGGAGAAGATTTCCATCTTTTCCGCTCAGAGCCACGGGTGGACTCCAGCCACCAGAGTGGCACGACCTTTGAAGTTAGCAGTGCTAACTCCCTCCAGACTATACCACCAGAGCTCCGTTTAGCACTTCAGAAGTTGATGCACAGCATAGGGCAATGTTTACTTTTCCCCAATAGCTGCGTTCTCATAAACCTATTCTGCCCTTCACTGGTTAATGCAGACAGAAGATTTTTATCCAGTATGAGCACAGAAACTGCACTGTGGAAGACTGTGTGCTCAGCAAAAACCTCACCCATGATGAATAAACAGCCCTTCTGGGGGCTTTGCTGCCGGTAGCTTGGCAGGGGTTGTTTATTGCCTGGTTTGCACATCCCATGATAAACTTGCTGCTGAAATAAATTGCAGTTTTGCATAATTATTGACAATCACCTCTTAACAAGCAGTGTGTATCATATTCAAGTGTTCAATTTTTTTAAAATCCATTTTTAGCTTATGTTTAATCCCAGAAAGTGTTTGTGTAGTAATAGAAGGCAAATAAAGCATTTAAATAGAGTACTAATTTCGTCCTTGCAGACAAAATTTACCTGACTCTCTTTAGATGGGACTGTTGCTGCCTAAGGCAATTTTCCCTCCTGCACTCTTATTATAGACATGTTTGCTGAGGGCATATGTGTGTGTGTCTCACATACAGGCATTCTGATCTCTAGCATCAGAAAATCAAAATATTCTTTTAGATTTCTGTTCCATTAGTGAATTTAGAGGAATGAGAGAATGAGATGTTCGGGGGAGAGAAGTAACATTTTTTATTTTTTTATAATGGCTTTAATTCATGAAGGGGGCATAGTCCTTGGTAAGTTGCACTGCTAACTCAAAGGTTGCACTCAAATCCACTGGCAGCTTCCCAAGAGAAAGAAGGGGAACTCTCTTTCCTTTATGATTTACAGCCTCAGAAACTCCGTGGAGGGCTGGTATGAGTCAGTGGTGAGTCAAAAGCAGTGAGTGTGAGTTCATGAGAGGTCTTCAGTAATCTTGCTGTGCAAGTCCACCCACAGAAAGGTCTGGCAATCTACTTCTAAACAGATGTCCATTGTAAGTCCTATAGAATACATTTCGACTCCGATGTACTAAGACATGCACCTGATATTGTTGTATTGATAGTGTAATCAGTTGGAATTAACTAGACGACAACTGTCTGTGTGTGTGTAGTAAATGTGATGTGCTCAACTTTAGATGAGTTCGTGTATTTTAATTCTATCATGGCAACAGGCATAGCAAATGAGAAACTGAGAAGAGTGATTAAGTAACTTAACGTATCACCCAACTCCTAAGGAGCATTGGGTTTTGAGCCTACAGCTGTGTAGTTTTTAAGACTCTAGTTCTCTACTTTTCCTATATATTTTCTTTTGGAAAATATTCTCAGTTCTATGACCATCGGGCACTGAAAGCTAACACAATAATAATAATAAACCAGTGTCATAGATAATGACACGTTACTCTATGGTTTCAAAGAAGTATTCTTTCTGTGTTTGTCCCATTTTCCTTCTTTGCCCTTTAATCTCCTTTATTTTTCCCTCCAGTGTTTAACTTTCCACCCAAGTTTCATATTTTCTTGACTGTTTTCTTTGCCTTTCCAATCCTCGTTGCCTGTCTTGGAGTGACATCAAAGAATGCATAGTGTAGGCATTGTAGAGTTTTACCTGTAAAGATAAGTTTCAACTCTGGTAGCCCATTAAAGTTAAGCTTTCAAAATTAATCCTCAAAAAAAACCTAGAACATTAAAAATTGGTACTGCTTTTGAAATTCCATTTCCTGTGGTCCAAAATTTCTGCTATCTTTAACGCCTTTGGCGGTGGAGGATTTGTAGAAATCTGCAATTATCAGTCCTTGTTTAATAGATACTCTCATGTGCTTTGCCTAATGCAGAAGCCCAAGTAAAAGGGAAGTAAATGAACTGCAAGATGTTCTAGTTCTTCTTCTCCTTGTTGTTGTTAAGAGGAGTTTTAGCCACTGCCCACTCATTGGTTGAGATCATAACAGTACTGTCCCTCCATCTCCATTAGCTCTCTTCATGGGTTCTGTTGGGTACATCATTGTGATACTGGAGGAGAACTGCATTTGGCTGTTTGTTTCTTTGCAGAGTGAGTGAGCGAGAGGCAGCTTTGGAAGAAACTCAGAGACTGCTGCACCAGTTCCCCCTGGACCTGGAGAAGTTCCTTGCCTGGCTCACCGAAGCTGAGACAACAGCCAATGTCCTGCAGGATGCCACCCATAAGGAGCGGCTTCTGGAAGACTCCAAGGGCGTAAGAGAGCTGATGAAACAATGGCAAGTAAGTCAAGCATTTCCACTTTAGCTTTCTTGTGAATCCGGCCGAACAATTCTTGGCATTTTGTTCCTAGTCGCACTTATAAGTGATGTGGATAACAAACAAGAATGAGTTCTACTACTTTTTATATAGAAGCATTTGGACAAGGAGGAGAATGGAAAGTTATTTGTTTCCTTTTGACCCCTGCTCTTCCTGGACAGCAGGTATTTTTGACAAGGACGCTCACCCATTGTTGGCGAGTCTGAACTTGCTCATAGCTTTTCAGAGGCTCTTAAGTCCCAGGGGAGAAGAATGAGGATGACGTTCATCTTTCTCCTAGGAGCTGCAGGTGGATTTGAACCACCAGAGAAGGCCCAGCCTTTCTTTTTAACATTTGACAAGGACGATATGCGTATGAATTGTCCAGGAGCTCGCCCCTCCTCCTACACTTTAGTTATCTAGGATTGTTGTTGCCTCTCCATGAACAATTTTGTGGCATTGACTAGGTTCTTGGAGTTGTGCCACCATTGTGGTCTTTCTTCCTTGCTGTTCCTCTTCGTCGTTCACTTCCCTTTCCCCCTCCCGTCTTGAACTCCTTGTTTTGCTCGGGTACTCATGTGCATAGAGAAGATGGCAGTGGCAATTTATTGCTTCCTCTTGAGTTTATCATTTCTGCTTTATCTCCTCCCCTGACCCTGCCTGCTCCTCGACAGTGTGCGTTGAGTCGGTTTTATCGCTTGCAGGTAGTTTGTTGGTAATGGTACCTGACTTTATCCTTGAAGATGTCTCCTGCTGCATGTGATAGACTGTAAAAGCAATGCACATATAGATTGTAGTCACTCATAGATGAATGGTGAGACAATCTACTGCTATAAATTTTTTTCCCTGTGATATTTCATAAGTAAAATTTTATTTCACTTTATAAGTGCCTGTAAAACCACCTAGGTTGTGTATACGTGTGTGTGTGTGTGTGTGTGTTTCACATTTTCTCTTCAGCCATGTTAGGAGAATAGTAAAATTTTACTTATGTGGATATTTTTAGCATATCACATTACCCTGGAAAAACATTAATCAAATCACTAAGAAAATAATTTGAAACTAGAGGTTGAGTAAAAATGCCCTCTAAAATTTTCTCTTTGAGCACTGCATCTATTTCACATGTGCATTGTCCTTATATCTGCAGTACAATGTAATGAAGGTTTATGCTTAAATTTCTGATGCTCAGAGACCGAAACATTTAGAGTCACCAAAGAAAAAGAAATATTCTTATATCCTAACTACACTTACTATGAAAGAATGGAGGATAAAAGACATTTTGTGTTTAGATTTCTGATCTTGTTAAAAAACAGAGATTATCAACTAAACTTCTTAGTGTTTGCTATTATTATTATTATTCATAAAAACATATTCCTTTTCAAAAGCTCCATTAGAGTTCCTGAAAACCTTAAGGGCATCATTTCCCCCATAACCATAGTGGGACTAAGGATCCAAAATGGTTTAAAAACAGAGACAATTTCTCATTCCCTCTCAGTGAATATTGTTGTCTTTTGGGTTTGTTGTGTATAATTTTTTTTTCTCCTCTGTAAATTCTGGTTGCCTGCAGTTTAAAGTACATTTTATAGATAAAGGATGACATTTATAGCCAGCTAGAACTTTTAGTTAGATAGTTGAATAATGGCTCATTGATGAAAGATTTGGACGTGCCATGGCAAAACCTGTAAACGACTGGAACTATCGATTATTGCTAATGGTGCCTTTTCCATGGTTAGTATTGAATCAAGATACAGGCTTTAAAAGCATCAAATGGAAATGCCAAATGTAAAAGTAAATAAAACAGCATAGCTTTGGAGATTACCTGCAATTTCAGTATTTCAGCTGAATGGAAATGCTTGCTTGCTCCCCTCTGAGCATGAATTTTCATTTTGAACAAAAGGATTTTTCTAGAATAAGCATGCAAGGGAAAAGTGTAATGGTATGCCTCTTCATTTCATTTGAAAAAGCAAGTTGCATTGTTTGATTCAGACTGTAGAGCAAGAAGAGTTCTTACGTATTCATTTAAAAAAACAAAACTGCAAATGCCCCTCCAGAGAAGCATCTCTCTCAAGATTCTTATATATGTATCCCTGCCTCCCTCCCTCCCTCAAAGTCGTGATGAGTTGTTGTTGTGATGTTGTTAGTACCATCCAGAAGATAAAGACTCATAGTTGACTCTCCAGTGGGTTTTCAGAGGTTGTAAATCACACAGGAGGAGACTGACCCTCTATCCCTCTCAGAGCAGCTGCTGAATCCGAACCACATGCCTTTGGGTTAGCAGTGAGATATTTTACAAATGCTGCTGAAGGAAGTTAACGTTGTGAACCTTCACAAAATGTTTTTCTCCGTATCTGTCAAAGAGTTGTTTTGTATAAAGGGAGCTCTGGTGGTTTAGTCCATAAGGTGCTGTGCTACTAACTTGAAGGGTGTACCTCTCCGGTGGTTCACATCCACCAGCAACTCCAAGGGAGAAAGATGGGAAATCTCCCATGTGATTTACAGCCTGATTCGCCTGTTGGAGGTCAGCTATGAATCAGTTCTGGCTAAATGGCAAAGAATTAGAGTTTTGCTGAACTGCCTATCACTCAATCCATAATCGTGCCACAGGAAGTTTAATTATCATAACAAAAATCATGGTGCATGGATTCGGCAAGCTTAGAGAAGATTGCAGTAGAATTACCACTTTTCATCGTGGGGACCTGGGTTTGATTCCCACCTAATGTACCTCATGCACAGTTACTAGCATCTGTTATTGGAGGCTAGCATGGTGGCTGTGATGCTGGACAGGGTGCAGTGGAGCTTCTAGACTAAGACAGGCTAGGAGAACAATGCTGTGGCTCTCCTTCTGCACATGAACCAGTGAAAATTGTTTGGAGCACAAAAGCCAAATCATATAACTGGTCTGGGGGCGGGGTGCAAGACCAGGCAGCATTTAGTTCTGCTGCACACTGGGTTTCCCTGAGAATGAATTAATAGACTAGAGGGAAACTAAGAACAGGAAGCATACCTGCATTGACTAGCATATGGTTCCTGAAAGAAATCCATCTGATTCTTTCCTTTCTGAAGCTATTAGAATGTCCCCATTATGTTGCTGCTGTTGTAAGATGTGAATTACTCAGACTCATAGCAACCCTACGTACAGTGAATCTAAACCTTACTCAGTTCATCCTAACAATCTTCACTGTACTCAACTTCATTGTTGGGGTCACTATAGCAGTTGATCTCACTTTGAAAGTGTCCCTCCCCATTTCTCTTCCACCTTTTCAAGCATGTTGTCCTTTTCCAGAGACTGGCCTCTCCTGTCAACATGCCCAAAGTATGTAAGATGAAGTCTCACCATTCTTGCCTCCAAGGAGTACAGTGGCTGGACTTTTTTCCATCGCAGATATATATATGTTCCTTTGGCCATCCATGGTATACTCACTGTTCTTTTCCAGCACCACAATTCAAAGGCACCAGTTCTACTCTGGTCTTCTGTGTTTATTGTCCAACTTTGACTTGCCTTGGAAGCAGGTCATTCTTTGAACTGGCACCTTTGATCTTTACCACTTTAAAGGGATCCTTGACAGCAGATGTCCCCAAAGTAAGTCATTACTTGCTTTCACGTCTACTATTTTCACTGAAGCAATTAGTGTTGATTGTGGATCTAAGTAAAATGAAATTGTTGACAACGTCACTCCTTTCCTCTATCATGCTGTTTCCTATTGGTCCAGTTGTGAAGATTTTTGTTCTCTTTATATTGAGGTGTCATCCATTCTGGCGTTGAAGAAAAGCAAACTACTTCAATTTCTCTTCCCTTTCGGCAAGCAAGGCTGTGTCATCTTCATGACTCAGATTGCTAATGAGCCTTACTCCAGTTCTGATGCCACATTCTTCTTGATATAGTCTAGCTTTTCAAGTGATCTGTTCAGCATACAGATTAAATAGGTATGATGAAAGGATACAATCCTGACACATCCCTTTACCAATTTTCAGTCATGCAGATGAGCCTCATTATGTGGTGGTGGTGGTGGTATGTACTATCAAGTCAGAACTGACCCGTAGCTGACCCTCCAGTGGGTTTTCAGAGGCACTTACTCGCATGAGAGGAGATTGCCCATCCTTCTCCCACCTCATTATATGAGAAAAACATATTATATACTTGCTTTACAAAAAACAAGGACATTATGATTGCCCTTGTATATCAGGATGAGGGGATTTTTTTCTTATAAATATTGTTATTTCTGATAGTCTAACTGGATATGTTAAGCCTATATATTTATAGAACACCATATAAAGCCCTAAGGGATGACATCTTGGGAATTTTTAAATTGCAAATTTATCCTGAAAATGAAGAGCTCTTCTTTCTATTTAACCCACTTCTTTCAGTGTCCAAATGATTTCCTCCTCTGGGCCTAAGACAGTTGATAAAACAATGTGAAGGTCCAAGTTCTAGCATAGAAGAATGCAGACCTAACTGAAAAGAGAAAGACTGGATTTTACTGACTTATATTTCACAAGAATTTTTAATTCTATAATTTCATTATCCAAGCACTACTCCGAGATTATTATAGTCTTAATTCGTAAGAAAAAAAAAATAGGTATGTGGATACGGGAAGCAGGACTGAGGCATTGTCATAAAGATGATACAATTAAGGGCTTTTTTTTTCCTCAGAAGAAACTAAGAAATGAAAACTATCTGAGATTTCTTTATCCCTGATGAGGGCGAGATTTCTCCAATTGTTAAATTCTTCAGTCCTTTTTTTTTGAAATATTTTATTGTTATTTGAGGGTTGTTGTTTTTTTTAGTTGACATTGTGTTTCTTTTTTTATTTTTTTTACATTTTTATTATTTTTGTGTGAGTGTACCGCCAAATCAGATCTGACTGGTACAGGAGGAGATTGACCCTCCTTCCCCGACAGAGCATCTGGTGGATTCGAACCATGCGCCTCTGCGATTGTAGTTGCATCTCCTTACCACTAGGCCACCAGAGCTCCAGAGCTCCCCTCAC